ACCCTGTGAAGAGGAGCATGTGCCTGCCAGACCTTCCTCGCAGCCATGGTTCATTTCACATACCAGTTTGACTAGGCCTCACAGTGCCCAGTTATTTGATCAGAAATTATAGCAGCTCTTCCTGTGTGGGTTTGGGGATGACATTAAGACCTGAATCCATAGGCTGAGTAAGGTAGTTGCTTTCCCTAATGTGAGTAGAGCTGGTCCAATCTGCTGCAGGTCAGGTTGGGACATTACCTCGCACCTACAATTGATGTACCAGAAAACAAGCTAGAGATGTCGCTTGCAACGCTCAAGGGCACACAGTCAAATGGCCCTCCCGAGCTCTAAATCCCAAGGCCACAAATGCCAGTCATTTCCAGACAAGACTCCCTTGGCTTCTCCTCTTGGCTGACACAAACCTGCGATGTCATTCTGTACACACTAACTTTACCCCTGTTTGCTTCTGCTTGTCTGGTTCCCAAGACTGGCTGACCATGCAGCTGGGCCACTACAGACTCTGTCCTCTGGCTACTTTCTGCTCCTGTTTGGCCACATGTTTTTTGCCTTTACCCTTCCTTCCTTCACCCTCCCCTGACAGGGACAGAGCCTTTAAGATATGCTAGAGAGAGTTATTCTAGAGGATAAAAATTAAATCACACACTGAGAGTTGTTGAAAAAGGTATGAGTAAGGAACCATGTGACCACAGGGTAAGGAGCCCCCCCTCCCCCGCCGAGTGGGAGATACTGAGCCATGACCTGAAGGATGAAGATACATGGATAGACAAGAAGTGGGCCAGGGGCATGGAGGCTTGCCTCCAGGGCTGCAATTCAGGTCCAGTTTCTGTTAACTCTTGAGATCTGAAGCCTTCTCAAAAGTACTTTCATGGAATGAACTAACCCCCTCATCCCCACCCTGCACCATTCATAAGCTGAAATCTCAGCATCTTTAAAGAAGTGACTCGGTACCAAATATGGTCCTACGCTGATCCATTATGACTAGTGCCCTCAGAAGAAAAGCAAACTGGGCCCAGGATCAGAGAAAAGACCATCTCTGAGCTGGGGAAAGAGGACTCGGAAGAGACACACTCTGTCAACACCTCTATCCCAGACTCTAAAACTGAGAGAAGATGGATGTTTGTGTTGTTAGGGAGTGCTGTCTTCATAAAGTCACCACATGTTGACAATATTGAGGCCAAGGGTGTTGCTTAGTGGCGGAATGCATTTTTAGCATGTGTGAGGCCCTGACCTCACCCCCGGCAAAGCAGAAGAAAGTTAATAAAATATTTAAAATCAAAAAATGCACCTAATATATCAATATTGCCAAACACCACACCTCAGCCTTACCTACTTTAAATATGCACAGAACACTTACAGCTGTGCAAAATCATCTCCCATGCCATGGACCTTGAGTATAAAGAAGCGCTGAGAACATCATGCAGTTTAGTGAACCCTAAACAGAATGGAAAGCTGATGGATGCATGGGGGATGCTCTGGTACTGCAGCGTTGAAAGTCTTCCTTAGGAGACAGCGAAGGCAGGAACTCTCTCACAGCACAGTGGCTTAACCTAGCTGTGCAGCCACGTCCTCTCCAGTCAGTTCAGCCCTGCTGTCCCCAAGAGCCTCTTCACGTCAACTCTAGAGTATGATGAGTACCAATTGCCACTCAACAACACTTCCCTGATGGCTGCTGGGACTGCTCACATGCTTTGTTAATAGGAAATGTCCACCCAGAGGCTGCCAGACAAGACGGGCGAGAAGCCCTTCAGCCAGGAGGGAGGTCTGGCTGCATGGGAACCCCAAAGCTAGGATCAGGGCAAGAGGACTCCAAAGACCTCTTGAAAGGGTCTGTTCACATTACTGCTGCAGTCAGAACAGCTCTGACAATGGATTTTCTACAAGAGTTTCTGTGGGAGAAATGCAGCTGCCTAAAACTAAAAAACTAAAGCAAAGGCCTCCTTGCTTTGAAGAGACTGTGATTCCTCTCCTATAAAAAGAGGAAAGGGAAGTGAAGGAGACAGATTAGCAAAGCTGGAGGCTGGTCTCCTTCCAAGGAGGGAAAAGCAGCCTGGTGTGACTCATACAAGTAAGTGCTTCTTGGTAAAAACCCATGAGGACAGACTCTGCCTTTAAGTGCAGTTAAAGACGTGCCTGGCAAGGTATACAGTGGCCCTGTCTCTGAAGGCCTGGTACAGATGTACAGCAGGGGTTTGCAGTTCTAGGAACCCAGTTTCCTTTTGTGGGTTCCCAAAGTAGCCAGCCACGGGCCTGTAGGTATCCACCCAACATAAAGGGCTCTTTTAGCAAAAGGAGTAGAAAACACAGACCAGGTTTAGAAAACCGTTGCTAATAACATTTTATCTCCAACCTATGAGTCCCAACAAATACGGCTCAAAGAAAATGATTTTCCACCAAATGTACAGGAAGAGCACATTTTCTCCAATATTGATGCATTCTGTTGCTAGGAGATGGGTTTGGAACAGAGTTTTTAGGCTAATCTTTCTTACAGACAGACATTTATTGAGTTTGGCTCCTTAAGGGGAAATTTCTGCATTTATCATGAGGGTCAGTGTGCAAAAACCTGTCAAGCAGAAGCCAGTTAACCAGGTCACCTAGCATGGCTGTCTTGCCATCTCTCTAAGGGTACAGTCACGAGGGACAGTTGTGCTATGGTGAGAAAGTTCTGTTTTAGGAAAATATAGGACTTGTCATTTACTAACTCAATAGCTTGAAACACTCACTGTTTAGTATCAACTAAGCTTGAATTCTATCTAAAAATTGGAACTACTTTCCTTAAGTTTGTAGTGAAGTATAATTAGATATCTTACGCAAAATATGTTTAAAATACAAAATTCAATGCAGGAGCACCACATTGTATACTCTAAACATGTGAAGTTAAAAGAGAACATAAGGACTGAGATGAATAGAAAGCATCTGGGAGATTAATAAGGAAATAAACTATTCGAATTTTGTGCCATAGCCATGGTTAAGTATTATAATTTTATAAAAATCAAGTCTGAAAATGCCTTATTTACTATGAACTTCTAAATTTTTGTAAAAATCCTTTATGTTTATTCACAACCTAATTTTAATCCAACGTCTACTTTATTCTTCACTTACACTACACTCTTCCCAAAATGATTGCTATTCCACCTCACATTCTTACATTTGTGTAACTCATGCTTGAACTGCTGTAGAAGGAATATGGAGGATGAAGAATGGCCTTTCAATATAAAAACACACACACACTTCATATATAGGGAGAAATATGAATTACCATGCAATTGTATTTTGCTGTAGAATAAGAAACACCCCTTCCCCTTCCTCCCAAATCCCCAGAGAAGCCCAGTGCTAAGATAGGCTTAGAAGACTCACAGACAGTGGAGCTATTGGAGGCGCCAGCTTTCCCTGCTGGACTCTAGGGACTTCGAGGACAGAGACCTAAACTAAGTGCTCAGTGTGCAAAGCAGTGCTGGTCCTCCACAGGCATCAGAATCAGGCACGTGGAGGGCCCAAGTACATACTTAAGGTGGATATGACTTGTAGAGCTTACGATATAATTTTAGAGAGAAAAGAGCCTCAGAGATGAATACAGAATATGACTCTATATCTATGTGGGTGACTACCAAAGGACAATTTGCTTCCTTGGTTTGGTTTTATGAATTTTTACTGTTATTGTTTTATATGAGCTAAAAATTCCAAGGAATATTGAATTGTTACCAATGGTGCTTCAAATCTAAAGAGATTTTCTTGTTACAGGGCCCAGTGCCCAGGGACATATAGAACTCACTATGCTCAAGGACATTTACCAGAATCTTCCTGCTGTGGCTACCCAGAGCTCGGAGCTCAGGTCCTCTGTGCCTGTGTTACTCTAAATACCACTCTCTGACCAGATGGGGAACACACACCCTGAGCCCCCACTTCCCCCACTTCTTTCCCTTCCGATGGCTGCTCTCACTTCCTCAGAGGCTTTGAGGCACCCAGGAGTTGCCGAGCTGTAACAAGACTCACCGTGCCCCTTTCACATGCTTGTGAAGGAAGTCAGCATGAAAGCGTGGGACCAATGGATCCTTCTCCCCATGCACAATGAGGGTTGGGCACTGGATCAGGGGCAGCAGGTGCCGACAGATGTTACCTGAGAGACAGAAGAGCACAGGAAATCCCCTCAGCACAGTCTCTCTGCGGGGAAGAAGCAGAACTCTGCAGAGATGCACTACTAGGCACCAAAGGCTTGGGCTCCAGAGAGGTGCCATGACTAAGTGGTGAAAGCCTCTGGGTGTAGCCTTGTGGGACATCCTTATCCTTGGGGACATGCACCTGAAGGAGACTGTGGAACCCCAGTCTACCCTCTCTTCCCTTCCACTCTCTGACTTGGGATGTAACCAACTTTGCTCCACCAAGTGCTCCCAGTGCCTCACCGTAGATACAAAGCCATCAGAGAGCTTGGTCATGTCTAGGAACCTCCAGAACTCAAGTCAAGGTAAGCCTTGCCTATTATCTTAGGTGTTCAATAATTCACTGACACACGTGTCCCTCTGCATCGTGGCTTCACTGTCGGTGGAAGCCAGTTTGATCTGGGGTTCCTTCCAGTTTTACCACTCTTAGGTTTCCCTCTTCTATTTCTGTGCTCTGCTGGCTTGTTTTGATACTCTACTAGAAAATACACAGTTTTTTTTTCCTGACGTAAAATTGTTCATGTAAAATGGTAGACAAAATCAAATGAGGAAGCAAGCAAACAAACCCCACAAGTGTTGTATTACAAAGAGGCAGCCTGTCAGCCACGTTGATGATGCCTGACATTTGAAACCTTTCCCTTTGAGGTTGTGACTCCATAGCTGAGAGCCTAGCCTAAGAATGTAGGGACTAGCCTAGGATGCAGGGACTTCATGGTAAAGCTAGCCTGTATCAGTGCTTGTACTTTAGTGACACTCCTGAGTACCACCCCTGGGTGGCTCCCGGCCAGCTAGAGCTTCAATCTCAAACAGCAATCCTCGCAGCTGCCCGTGGCTGTTAGGAGGTTACACACATGGTTCTGGTAGCCATGCTATCAGCTCCTTCCTCCACTCCCCTCCCATCCCTGCCTGTTCTAAATGGAAGGTGCTATACAACTGAGCTAGATGCGATCCAGCATAGGTGGTGCTGCTCACCAGGTGCCAATCCTCTGCCCTTCTCTTCAGCTGGGGAGTGCTCTCCAGCAAGGGAGAGTGACCAACTGATTGGGGAAGTACTTCTCCTGTCAGCACACACCTGTCAGCTGGAAGGGATGGCGCTGATGAAAGCCAGCAACACAACTGCTTGCTACGGCAGGAGACGGTAACGCTTACAGCACTTATACCTCTTCTTCTTCTTTTTTTTTTTTTTTTAAATTTTTATGTTGAGACAGGATCTTGCTGCGCATTTCTGGCTGGACTGGAAGTTACTACGTAGATCAGGCTGGCCTCAAACTCTGTCTCTGCCTCCCAAGTGTTGCGATGAAAGGCACATGCCACCACGCCAGGGTATCACTTACGTTTTAACTCATTCAACACCAACAAACATTTGTAAATTAGGCATTTTTAAAAATCACATAACAGCACTTTCATAATAACTGTCCATAGCACTCTACCATAACTGAATATGTATTCATTACTTCACTTAGTTCTCATGAAACTTTATGAGGTAGCTATTAGTATATTCTCCAGAAACTCAAAGCTATTTTGACCGCAAGTCAAGACCTCAAATCCAGGCCCTGATGACCCCACAGCTGTGCAATCACCCATGCTGGACCAAATGCCTATAAACCTGAGGACACAGACATGAAGGAGAGAGTCCTGTCAGAGCAGCAAAGACAGAAGGGAGACGAACTACTAAGGCCTGCTCTAAGATGACTTCCATATTGAATTCTCTACGTTAGGATATGCTTCTGAACTGCCAATTTAACACCGTTTCCATCTCTTCCTTGCCTCCTCCCAGGAAGCGCCGAACCACACATCTCAGTGAGTTCTCTCTCATGGGGAACTGATTCACTCCGTTTAATAACATCCTTTTCTGTTGTTTTATGTGCAAAGAAACACATTTTAAGGACTTGTTACTATGGATGAAAACTGCATTTCAACAGGATCTCTGTAAGGCACGGATTTGCTCTTTTGAACTTAAACCAAACATGTAACATTTCCAAAACCCCTTTCATTGTGAAAGCTTTGATATTACAGATGAGTCATGCTGGAAAGGATTACCTAATAGATTAAACCGTCCCTTCAGACACAAGCATTCTGGAACAATGTTTCCAACAGTAAATCTTAGCTACTCTAATGCAGCAATTACAAAAATAAAAAGAAGAGGGGGAAAATATGGATTCCAAGAAGCTTGTTACAGTTTGGATCTTAGTGTTCCCCAAGGCTCCCATGTTAGAGCGTGTTTCCCAGCGTGGAGCAGGAGAGAGCCACAGGACCTTTAGGAAGTGGGACTTAGTGGAAGCTCACAAGAGATCGGGGGTGTGCCTTTGGAGGAGAGGTGAACTCTCAACTCTTCCTCTTTTTTCCTTTTTGCCATTGAGGTAAAACTTTGCCTTGCCAAATTCTCCTACAATGGGCACTGCACCACCTGGCCTTGAAGGAGGTGGTTCTCCCTAGTCATGGACCAGAACCCCCAGATCTAAGTCACAATACACTTTTCCTGTATAAATACACTGTATTTCCTGTATAAATACACTGATTGTCGAAGGTGTTTGCCACAGTGACAGAAGGCTGACTAAACACATAGCTATATAAAAACAGACTTTGAGTTCTGCTTAGAGATGGTCATTCTTACTGGAAATCTTACTAATTTTTAAGATACACAAAAGAAAGCACTTGTCCACAGCTCAGGTTATATCACTCGGCTCTGAAGTTGAAAAGAGAATTGAGCAGTCTCTTCCCCTCTCTGGCTCTGCTGGGAGTGAAGAACATGGCAAAGACTTCCTCCTGCTTTGTCCTGGAGGTAAGGTGAGTCGAGTGTGGGCCCATCCAGACTGAAAAAAAAAAGTGTCTAATGGTGGCTCTCCTTCTAATAACCTATTCTTCAGTTAGAAGGTAGAAACAGGCTTCTGGAGGGCAGCTTCATGCTGCCACATATGCAAAGGACTGAAGGCAAAGGAACAGACTGCCACTAAAGAAAGCTTCACCATGAACCTTTATTCAATGGTCCTGTCTGGCACTTACACTTACTACACAAGAGCTAATACTATGTACAGTAACCTGTGTCTCTGTTCACATATTAACAGTGTGAGGACAATGGATGTGTCTATTATGGAGAAATCCTGGGAACTCAAGAGAGGCACTCAAGTCTCCCCTGCAATGAGCAAAGGAACCATTAGTCCGTGCGACTTACCATCTGGCAGCTCTTTAAACTGGCTGATGCTATCCACCCAGTTCTCACAAGTTTTGGCAAAGTAGTCATATCCATAGAGGGCTTCCAGAGGTTTCCTTGCCTTCTCACTCCATTTAGAAACATCTCGGATACCTGAAAAATAGAGGTGTGGACAAGGATGTGTCCAGTCTCAGACTATGGCATTATCTTGAAGTAACCTAAGCCAGGCTATCTCTCGGCCTCACGCTCACTGTTCCACCTGCTGGGAAGACTTTTCCTAGTATCTGGGTGGTTCATTCACATCCTCTAGGTCTCTGTGCAGATGTTAGGGAGCCCCACCCACCCTCATACCCTCTGAGACATTCCCTCTTCATCTGCTCTGCTTTTGCAGGACTTTCTGCCTTTCACTTGACTGTCCATCTTCCCCTAGGGAGGTGTGCCCAGTGTATGGGCTTTTGCTTTACGCCTTGCTACACGTCAGACCCTAGGCTTGGCCTTGCTGAAGAATGACATGATAAATCATTAGTGACTGAATTAAGTCAGACCTGAGTTAAACACTTTCTGCTAAAGATTTTAAGATAAAAGGAAAAACATTTTTCTAATTGGTGTCTCCAGAGGAAGAATGACATTATAGTTATCTTTCAGTTTCTAGAGTGTTGTGTAACAATTTCCTTCAATATTGAAATATTGTGACTTGCACAAAGTTCCTTAAGTAGGAAGGTAAACAGTTCAAAATAGCTTCAGGAAGTTTCTGAAACCGACCAGATTCCCTAGGCCCCCTCTCTGCCAGAGTAGGCAATAAAAGCTGAGAGTCCCCTTCAGACTCAAGAAGACTGAGTTGCAAAAATGATTCTCAGAGAAAAGCTGCCAAGAAGACTCCGAGACCAGACCAGCTGCCTGGAAGCAGAAGCCAGTGGAACTGCGGGAAAGAGATTTAGACTAACTGAGGCACCTGGAAAGGTGATGAGTCACCTGTGGGCTATGCAGTTTACTCTGGGTTCCCAGCTTTGTGTGCTGTCACCTATACTGGAGTGGGCTTTGGTGATAGGCTGTCTTTGAGTCATTTCTGCTCTTTGTAATGAAACTAATGGTTCACCAAATTGGATTTTAGTGGGATCCATACTTTGGTCTGTCATGGAATCCCTCTTTGGGGTTATGACTCACTATGTTGCTTCTCCCCAGAAAAAGTTTTGTTATATAACATAGAAGGGGGCTGCTCCTAGGAACTCCTGTGGACTGTGGAGCTCATTATGCAAAACTACAGGGAACGTGCACAGAACTGACACAGGAACTCGCAAATACTTAAAAACACCTCTACATTATTTTATTCTAACTCATGTAATTTAAATGCTATACAAGTAGTATACTATAATGTTTAAGGAAATCGTGACCAAAAAAAGTCTGTATATGTTCCATGCAGAGGTAATTTAATTTTTGAAGACTTTTGGCCTTGGTTGATTGATGTACAGATGCAGATATAAAAGGCCAACTACTTAGAAAAGCTTATCTGGTACATTGAGAAACAAACAGATGATGCAAAGGCTGAAGGAAATCGAACAGACTGCTGTTAAATCCTCAACATGAGCCTTTATTCACATGACCATGTCTAGCATTTCCACTTTTTACACAAGGACTCTGTTGAAGAAAAGGGGTGTAGAGCTAACTCCTAAATCTAAGCTATATTATAGATTATTAGTTGGTAGGAAAAAAAAGCAATGGCTAACTTCTACTTTTAAAATAACACAGCAAATGCCATTTACTCAGCCTGATCTTTCCTGTATTTTCTTAAACACTGATCAAGATTGTGGTGCTCCTGAACGTATTAAATGTTGCCTATGACAGCCTTTAAGCACATGTGTTGCTAAAGGACACACCAGAAAGGTCAGGTGACACCAGGAACACACCCTGACATCAGATGGTAATTTCTGTAGAGTACTGACAGTACCCAGTTCTCAAGGTACACTTGATGAATGGGAATACTCAAATGGAGGAATCGCTGTGATTTTCAGCTTTGCTGCTTTCTGAAGAAGATGCCTGCCTCTGCCTCCGAAGATTGGTCTGGATAATCAGAGGGAAACCTGGGTGACTTGACTGTAGAGACTAGAAGGGTTGAACTACTTGGTAATAGGGAAAAGAAGTCAGAGATGGGTGTGATGAGGTTGGCTAAAAACTAAAGAGGGGCAGATTTCAGAATGGAAAGAAGAGTTGGGCAAGTGGGAAAGGGAAAGAGCAAGGTGTGAAGGAAGCCTGGGGGAGGGAGTTCAGTGGCAAAATATATGCATATTTGAGGCTCCTTGTTTAATTCCTCGTACCTCTCCTACCTCCCCAAATACAGTAAATTTTAAAATTACTCCTGGATAATTACACTCTGGGATGCTTGGGATGGATACCACTAAAATGCTGTGAAGGGTCATCTTGCAGTAGAACAAGCCTATCTTTCATAAAATATTTTTAAAAGGTTATTTCCTGTGGCCTGGAGAGATGGCTTAATGGTTAAGAGCACTGGTTGCTCTTCCAGAGGACCCAGTTTCTATTTTCAGCATCTACATGGCAGTTGACAAACATCTGTAATACAAGTTTCAGGGAATATGATGCCCCTGGATGCAAAACACTTATACATAAAATTTTTAAAAATTTCTTGTGTGTGTGCAAGAGAGAGAGAGAGACAGAGACAGAGACAGAGACCAGAGGCCTCTTTCAAGTGTCTTTCATCATCAGGTACTGTCTACCTTGTATGGTGACACAGGCTCACCGGCCAGGCTAGGTTGGTTGGTTAGGGAGGCCCATCTCTGCTTTTCCAGCACTAAGCCTGAGTCATTGCACTCAACCTTCCATACCGGTGCTGCGGATAGAACGCACGTCCTCATGCTTTCGTGGCACCTACTTAACCAGCTGGGTTTTCTCCCCAAACCCATGACCTACCATTCTCATGCTTTCACAGAGTCATAGTAACTAGTGAATATGTTTGAGGGAGTCTGTACGAGAGAAAGCAAACCCTGGCAACAGGGTCAGGCAGCATCAGCGAAAAGGAGCCAAGGCCAATTGGAGTTCATGCTCACTGTTTCCATACAGGGATGACTAGCTGTCACTTGTCATGTGGTCTCTTTAGCGCTCATCTGCTGGAGATGGTAGGAGGGTCTCCAGCAATGTGAGGGCAAAGAAGTGCACAAACTAACTGGCAGATTTGACCAATATATCTGTGAAACCAGGGCACCACAGCCACGGGCAGCACCATGAGAGAATCTTAGCAGTGTAATGAGGGGAAAGAACAAGTCAGGGACAGCAGTACATGCAAGAAACGCTAACACACATACAATTATTGCCTTGGTGTGGCCTGATGACAAACATTTTTTGCTTGGGAGCTTCAGCCTAGGTGACCAAAGGACAGGAGGATCAGGGTTCCGGGGAGGCAGAGTGAACTGGGACAAAGTGCATAGATATAGTGGTGTCAGCAGGATCAATCCTGGGCTCCTGTAGGCCCACAGGTAGCATAGTTCAGTTATGTCAGAAGGGTTGAATTATAATGACTAAATATTAAAAAAAAAAGAAAGAAGCTTTAAAAATCAGTTAGAAAAAAACCAAGTTTCTTGTGATGTGAAGGCCAAGAGCTGTTGAGAACCCAGTGGATCAGAGTTCCATAGTGTCTCCACTGAAGCACTGTGCTGCTGCGGGGAAGCATGGGGTTCTTTCAATGGATTGATTTATGTACAGTTTCAGAATGAAAGGTGTCTATGGGAATGTCAGGTCTGCGGCAAGCCTTCAGAATCCCAGAGGAAAAAGCATGAAATCTCGGTGGGGGGTTGGAGGGGATAGGGGACCCAGCTACCACTGGGGGAAGCCAGAGGTCTTACAAGCAGTGATTGGGATCACAGATTTGGAAGTCACACTGATTATGTAGGAGTCCCAGCTCCTAGACTTACTGCTGTGTGAAACCAGGCAAGTTACTTAACATTACTGTACTAATTTCCTAATCAGAAAATATGAATTAGATTAACACTGAGAATAAAGAGTAAGTAATTGCACAGAATTTGCTGACAATAGTGCCTGGCATGTAACACGTACTCAAAAAGATCCTTTGTGTTTATATATTTACTTCTGTTAATTTATTTAAAGAGGAAGGCATTTCTGTTCCAAAGCATAATCACTATCCAAAAATTAGTAACTATGCTTCATAGACAAGTGCCCAGAATAACCAATTGAATGAAACTGTTTGCTGAGTCACAGCAGTATTTGGATCCCCAAAGACACTGACATTGCCCCCCCTATCTCGTTTAGAGCATATAATCTATGCTAAACACTAGAACCAGAAAGAGAATTTACTAATTAAGAGTTAATTCAGTAAGCACCAAGTCTGCTAAGTGCCTGTTCCTACCAATATAAACTTGGATAATGCGGTGGTTTGAATGAGAATGGTCCCTAAAAACTCATACATTTGAATACTTGGCCTCCAGTTAGTAGAACTGTTTAGGAAGGATTAGGAGGTGCTTGTTGGAAGAGGTGTGTCCCTGAGGGTGGGCTTTAAGGTTTCAAAGGTGCATACCATCCCTAGTTAGCGCTCTCTGCCTCTTGCTTTTGGACCAGATGTGTGCTCTTATCTACTGCTCCGGGACTATGCCTACCTGTCCTGCTGCCATGCTTCTCACTATGATGAATATGGATGCCAACCCTCTGGAACCATGAGCTCCATGGTTCATGGTTTCTTTAATAAGAAACCATGCTTTCTTTTATAAGTTGCCTTGGTTGTGGCATCAGAAAAGTGACCAAGACAGATGAGATACAACCTTTATCTTCAAGAGCCTTACAGTCAAGGGCTTGTAAATAGCATCTGCGGCCCTGCAGATGCCCTTATCCACAAGAAACACAGCCAAGACACCTGGTGTCTTGAAACCACAAAGCACCGAACTTTACAAATACTGTGTTCTCCTGATGACATTTATTGCTAAGCAAGTCCAGTAAAAGAGATTAGTAATAACTAATGCCATCCACAGCAACTAGAGTGCACTGCAGCGGGACTGCCAGCATCGCTCCTCATTATAGGAAGTGTCTTAAGTAAAACAAGTGTGCACAGAATGTAGGAATGGCAGCACGTTGACAGTAGATCTATTGATGCTGATGATTTCTGAGGACTAACAGGCAGGTGGCATGCAGATTAT